TGCTGAATCTGCTCTTTCTTGCCAGGGGTGGACAGATGTGACCAGACCACCCTGTACTGCAGAGGCAGCTTTGAGGGGGGGAGGCTGTAAGTGCACTTCAGGTGGACTCGACCTTGCACGAGCTCAGGAGTTATCACTGGTTGCAAAGCCAGGCTTGTGAGTTTGTCTGGAAGAAGGAAACAAAAGAAGGATGTAGCACAAAATGTTATTTTAGTGTTAACAGTTTTTCACTCAACAAGAAAATTTAAACATAACTGAACATGGGAGAAACGCCACATTTTATATTCCTGTGGTTTGATTATTAACTATGCAAGCAAGAAAACAGATTCATACAAAATGAAAAAATGACTAACTGTACTGTGACTACCCATTGTTGCTATAATATTTGACCTTTTTTGGTTTTGTTTTTCTTTTATTTTGCAGTAAGAGAGATGTTATTGAAAAGAGGCACTTGGATAAATACAAATTAATTACTCTGGCAAAGTCCATCAGCTTGGCATTCCTCTGAAGCGTAGCCTTTTGATTGAGGTTTTGCAATAAGTTCGGAAGAGATAGGAGAAATCATTATATTGCAGAGGTAAACTGACTCTCAGAGAGCACCCAGCCCACCTTGCCATGCTGTGAAGATCCTTTCCAGGCTGTTCTGGGACGTCCCTACACTAAGTCTGCTCAATAGAGTTGCCCTCTGCCCAGAATAATGCCATTGTTCTAAAAATACAGCCTGCTTTCTACAGACTTCAACAAGTAATGAAGTCTGAAACTTTTCTTCCTGTTAAATTCACCTAGAAAGTAGAAACAAAAAGATGTATGATACTGTAGGGTGATGTTCTTTCATCTCTAGAGACCTCAACTCAAATGCAGCATGAAGTTGGTTCAGATGCTTTGAAAGGATAAATGAAGTAACTTTTTTGGAGAAGTGTAGAAAATATTATGGAAGCCCAAGAGAACAAGGTATGTGGCTGTTATAGCAGAATGAAGAACCAATATTTTAACATCTGTCCAGGGCAAATAACAAGAGGTAAGAAAAAGAAACAAGTTACTTAAAATATGAATAAGGGCCGGTCATTTATATCATTTTCTCTTGTTTCTAAGGGAAGCTGCCTCAAACTGTGGCTCATATTGTGACTTTCTGCAGGAAATTATTCCAGAAGGACAAAGTTAGGTGATCAGCTCATGGAAGGTTGTGAGCAGAATTGCAAGCACATATGCCACTTTTCTCAGCTGTGTCTTTTTTTGCCAAGCTATGAAGCTTTAAATTCATTTTGGTTAGCAGCTCAGAAGTGCTGACCAGTGTCCTGTTCCTGAGCCTCCAGCAGACAGGGCCAGGGGACTGACCCTGGCAAGAGGCTGTGGAGATGCCATCTGGGGCTGCATAGAGGCTTCTGTGGTTCAATGATTCAGCAGAATTTAAGACTGTGAATTAACAACCCATAGTAAAAAACTTCAGCTTGGGGTGTTTTTCATCCAGTACTTGAAACAGCAAAAACATCCTAAAGGGAAGAATAACTTGAGAGAGCTGGACCACACTGAAATGCCTAGGAGAAGGTGAAAGCTTCAACAGCAGTGGTAAGAAAAAGGGAGAAAAAGATTGTTTGGGAAAGAGGAGAAGGAATAAACTTGCTTGTATTAAAAATGCAGGCATGTTTGCACTACTAAACAAGTACAGAGCAACAAAAAGGACAAACCTAATCACCCAAAAGATATTGGTAAAAAATTCTTCAAACAATGGTAGCAGCAATCTTATTGTTTAAAAGAAGCCAAGCTTGAAGTGACAAATGTCTGGATTCAGTTAAAAAGTAATTTCTGAGAAAGAATCATGGAAATGAGAGTGGTTTCATGTATTTTAAAGGATATTTTTTATTTCAAATGCTGAATTCATCTCACTTTATTTAGGCCTTTTTTCTTACCTCTTCTTCATGTGAGAATGTTAAAATATCAATAAAGATAAGAAAATAGATATCTCTCTTTTTAAAATTTATTTAAGCTTGAATTTTGCCTGATTGAAAGGTGACAACCCTTAGTTTCTCAGTGTGTCAACGTCTCTGTCCAAAAATGCTGAAAGTATAAAGGTAATATTTTTCCTTTTGAAAAAGAATTGTCTTTTCTGACTAAATCTATATGCACCTGAACACGCTCTGAAGTTCGGCAGGTTTAACTGAGTGAGCAATTGCTTTCTGCTATTCCTTTGTTTCCTAGCTACTGAGCAGAGGTTAGATCTCTTGGAGTAGGCTGAAAATTATTTCTGATGAGAGTAATTATATAAATGTCATGAAAAAGATGTTATCAGTTTGAGGTTGTTTTATTTTATTTTTTTTTTTCCCCTTCCAGAGTTTTAAAATTGTCTATTTTGGGGGGATGCTGGATTATTGGAGATAAGAACAGACCTTAGATACAGTATCCTGGATACAGTGCCTCAATAAAACTGAGATGCCTTCACTCACTAGCTGTGCATCTTGGAGCCAAAGACAGTGGGAAAGGTTACACGTGGACTGTAACCAAGCAAGGAGCACTTCAGTAATACACATCAGATTACATTTGGCACTGGTAATAACAGCTATCCTTCAGGAACACCTTGGACTGCTGCTAGTTTATTTTCTACACGGTCTGCATCTTCCGGGGAGCAACGCTTGGCTTGCAAGGTCACCGAGGTGTGCACTGCAATAGCAGGAGAGGCATGTGAGGCGTGTGCAGGCTTCCTGACAAACCCCGGTGCTCACCTTCTGCGCAGTAGCCCATGCAGCCCTGGGTAGGCTGCAGGAGGTACACCAAGAACTCGCCGCAGTTCCTGACGGAGATGGGTATCCGGAACAAGCAGCAGTCCTTGTGCCCCCCAAAGAAGACTTGCCAAGTAGCGCAGCCTGTGAGCCACTTGCTCTCACCGGGAGCTGGCAGGGACTCGGACTTCAGCGACAGCCACACTGGAGCTTGTGTCCCACATTTGTTCATCTGAGGAGGCACAGGGAAGAAACCATTTACAGCAAATGGGGTGAGACTCCGTGGAGAATCACTAAAAGCCAAGAATTTGAGTGTGGTAAACTTGGGAGGTCAGTGAATAAGCTGTGTAGGTGGGGATGAAAATATCTTGCTCGGTTTAGAGAGGGGACTTTATACAGATAAAATTCTCAAAGAACACAATAACTGTATTCCAGGGTATATTCTTCTATTTTTGGTTGGTTTGTATAAAAAGAAAAAGCATTTAAACAGGCTAGATCCCTTCTCTGGGAAGCATGGTTTGGGCCATTTGTCAAGTGGCCACTGCCACCCAGATGACTTCTGTGGCAGAAGAAAGCAAAGGATGACAGAGCATGAGGAGCAAGATGATGTTAGCACCATCCTAAATCAGGACACTGCCATGCACCTCCTTCCAAAACAGCTACAGCTTCAAGTACTGTTGTCCTGACATCTTCTGCCCTACCCCTCCAGCAGATGCTAGACACTTCTTTGGGGCCTGAACCCCTCCTTCATTCTTGAAGGGACACACATATGCAGGATATACAAAACATTCAGGAAGGACATAAGTGATTTGATAAAATTTTCTTAGGTTTTTGACCTTCAGGCTTCTGTCTGTTAACAGATGCCCTGAATACCCTGAACACATGAAATCCCAAAGTAGAAGGGGTTGGTCCTAGATGGTTTGAACTATGGCATTTTGAGAGGCTGCACCAGATCTACCTTTCCCAGCATACAGATAGATTTTCAGGCATCTCAGCTCTGTACCTGCCAGGCTGTTTCCACTGGCAAAAGGGATGTGATGATTCAAAGCTGTCTTTTACCTCAGTGAAGAGATTAGGTATAATGGGAACCTGGGTATAATGGGAACCTAATAAAATATACACAGCCAATTAAAATGGTAACTCATTATTCTGCACCGTTACCTATCATTTGCCAATATAAAAAGCACACAGATATTTGAGTTAAAGTTTGAAGGCTCTCACCACATACTGACAATAATTTTCTCTCAGATATCAGTCATATTCTGCAGAGCATGACTGCTGCCAATGCTTTGCATTTCTTCAGCCAGTGAGAGTGAACTGTCTCTAATAGCCCAACTTGGGGGACACGTTTCCTCCTGCTGTGAATATTTGGCTATATATCGTATTGAAAATGAAAAAAAAAACAACCCACCATTTTTTTTTTCCCGTTGGCCTGGGTTTGCTGCTTCACTTTTTAAGATCAAAAGTTGTTTGTGACAGCAGGGGAAATGGTGAAAGTCAAAATATAAATTTATTAAGTCATGCACCAGTGCCCTCCTGTAGTTTGAGTTTTACCTGGGAGCTATACAAGTCAGAAAGCAGGGATGGGTTAGTGGGAGCTGCACACCCAGGAAGGGAAAGGTATTTGAAGAAAATAAAGCACATGGCATGGCATGATCTGATTTCCATTTGGAGCTAGTTGTTTTCAGGCTTCTAAAAACAAGTATTCCAGAGAGACATCACTAAAATTGTCTGAAGTTTCTTTTTCCCTGTGGCAGCAGCTGAGTAGAGGAGCCAATCTTCTCCTATCTGGGTGCCCGTGTCCCCAGTGTCCTTGTGGAAAGCACTGGAGCTCTCCCAGTTCAGCAGGTCACCAGGGAGGAACAGTGTGCTGGTATTGCACCAGGGAAGGAGAAGAGGGATCAGCATGAAAAAGCTCTTATGTGGAATTTTAGATTAATCCCTTACCTCCTTTTATTTTAAAACCATGTTGTGTGTAACTTTTAAAGATATTTGCTCCATGTATTTATTTACAGCTTTAAGGGACATGGGTGCTTTCTGTGCAGTGAGAAATGCAGATGTCAGGAGCTGGTTGTTTCTTGGTGGACTTCTGACCTGCAGAGTGAGGACTGATGTGAAGTAGCAAGTTTCCAATGCATGTTTATGAACCTACACTTGTAATGACACAGAAGAGTGGAGCAAACATCATCCAGAGAAGTACTGCATGCAAGGGAAGGATGGGTGCAGTGAGTACGACAGCAACTGGAGCTCAGTGGTCTCTGCTTCATGCTCGTGTTATCTTCTTGATGAGATACTTGCTCCAGGTAACTGCTGGTAACTTCAGTGCTTCTGCTTACGTGAGTAAAGATTGCTGGAGTGAATCATTATTTTTCAAACTGCCTAAGAATGCAGATAGTTGTGAGTGTACCTCACAAGTGTTTTGAACCCCACAGGCAAGGAAGAATTATGTTAGGGGGGCACAGAGCTGAAGAGATGAATTAGCTCGAGCTCAGCTGGTGTGTGCAAGCTTGCAGAAAGCTTGAGGTGACTCGAGCTCCTGCAAATGCCCATGTCTCAAGGATCATTTGCACCCTTGGCTGAACAAACTAGAAAGAGTTTCTAACAATTTTCTATAGATGACCTTTTGCTGCTCAAAATAAGCTCTTGCATGCATGTGTTTCTGCAGTTAGCAGTGTAAGTGTTCCAGTACATCAGCACTGCTCTATTTGGAGTGTGGCCGCTGCTTTTGCTCTGGTCAGGCACATGAGATGCCTCAGTTTCCCTGGCTGCTGCCTGACCTTGGACAACTCACTTACTCTTTCTGTACCTCGCTTCCTTATCTCTAAACCAGCAGTAGAGGTGGCTGAGATGGTATTAGTACTTCCCTGCCTTGCAGCAGTGCTGAAAAGATAAATTCATTAACGAGACATCCATCTATCTGCTGTGCTGTGAGCCATGTAGATAAACAGACAGATGCAAGAGCATTCTGGATGTGAAAAAAGACAAAATGTGTTCCCTATGTAAAAGCTAACGTGGAGGAAAAAAACCTGCTGAAATAAGAGAATGGTGATTTTCTCCCTCTTTGTATTTATCCTTGCCAGAAGTCCGTGAGCCATTTCAAGGCTTGAGAAAGTGTGGATTAGCATCACTGACATCAGCTGCCAGTGTGGTGTGCAGGCTTCCTGATAACCCCTTGCTGTGATCTGCAGCACCCCGGATTTGTTCTGGCAAATCTTGCACTGAGATTGTTTGAGGAACATAGTTTATGATGTAGTGTGCACAAATTACAAGCACTAATGAACCTTTTTGACTGATTTTGCTCTCAGGAAAAGTCAGAGTGAGACAGCAAGTTGTTGTAACAAACTGCAATACAGTATTGCAGGCTGGCCAGGGAAGATTCTCAGTTTTCCTGGCAGCTTTATGACATACTTGCATCTATTTTCTGCTTTGAGCTACATGCTGTCTATCCGAGTCAGGCAAGTTGCCCCATTCTGGGAAGGCAAGGGCAAGTGTATATTCAGATATTCAACCAGTGGTAGAGATAAGAATAGGGGGGAAAAAAAAAAAACAAACAAAAAAAACAAACACAAACCAACCAAACCAAACCAACCAACCAAAAAATCCACAACACAAAACAAACACCTCACAAAAAAAACCCAAACCAAACCAAACACAAAAACACACACAAAAAAAACCCAAACCAAACAAACAAACAAAAAAAAACCCAAACCCAAAACTATTTAGGAAAGAAAAATCTAGAGACTTCAAAGAGCCAAAACTTTCAAGTCCCATCTGTGGCATAATTAGCATACATTTTGCAGCAGTCATTTGGGAGAGTAACTATAGAATTGAATATGAGGTAGTAAATGATTGGCATTTAAGATCCAGCATTTACCTGCAGTAACTACAGCCATTGCTGCTCTAAGAATAGCACAAAGCTGGGGGAATCTCACACCATAATTCAGCAGCATTTCCAAAATGAAGAAAAGGAGTTATACAGCTGTCTCCACAGAAGAGTAAGCTCTGCAAGTCTCTTATAGGCAGGAGCCCAGCTGCTGGGAAGCCAGTGGTGAGGATCTCCAGGTGATCTACCTACCACAGGCTGCACAGCAGCACCATCGCTGTGGCATGCAAAATACATCAGCCTTTCTCACTCCAAATGGAAGCTATGCAGCAGGAAGAAAAATAAGTTACATTGCCAGGGACACTGGAGAACACATGTGTGCCCAAAGTCCAGCCGTTTGTTTCTGGATATATTGGTAGGTCTAATGAGAAATAGTCTCTCTCCCTACAGATCCTGCCTCCCTCTTATGTCTTTAAGCAGTGCCCTTGACAGTGGACCTTTGATTAACACTCCCTAGGAGAAATCCCAAGCAGTTGAGTGTTTCAGCCTACATGTTTACTTGGGCTTGCAACTGGTCAATGCAGTGGCAAGTTAGTGAAGTAAGCTATATTGTTATAAACCCTAAATTTAGGTCATAGAGTGCATCTGTATTAGCTACCCAGTGGCACAGCTTACACAAAGGAGAACTTATCTAACACAAACAGGAGTTTTTAGGCTATTGCCATGCTTCTTTAGTGCTTAGTATCCTTTCATACTTTATCCAATTATAATTGAGTGGTGTTTTTAATCTTCAAAGCATTTTATAAACTTTACCTAATTAATCTTCACAACACCTCAATGTGGCAGGTAAGTGTTCATTAAGTATTTTTTATTCATAATTAGGCACCAGCTAATCTTTTAAATAATTTAGTTCAGAAAAACTACACTAAAAAAAAAAAAAAAACACATTAAATTTGTTCCCCCTTTGCCAAAACAATGGGACAAACCATTGTTGTATAATCCAATGATGTCTCTTTCCATTTAGTTGGGGTTTGGAGAATCAACTAGTTTGATTGATTGAACACTCTAAAGTTCTTTATAATTGCACAAAGAAATCAAGCTTGATTGTTCTTGTCACTTGGGTATTGCACTGAAATTATGCTGTTAAAAATAAGTAGCAACGTATGTGAGAATTGCATTGTTTTAGTCAGATGGAGATGGAAGGCTCTTCGGTATACTAGCATTTAAAACATTGTGATTTTGCATCTGTTACCCACTCAAAACTTTACTTTGTCATGTTTGGTTTTTTTTTTTTTTAATTTCTTTGTGGTAAGTTAAAATAAATAATATTTTTTTTGTTTGTTTCAGTCTGGGGCTGCACTCCACAGAAATCAGTTTGTCGGGAATATCTCTAGTAGCAATTAAACCAG